GACACTTCGAGGAGCTGAGGCCCAGCAACGCCTTCTCCTTCTGGATGACGCCCTCTGTGGGTCACCTGGCCCTGGCCTTCCTCCAGGGCTCCTTTGCCTTCAGTGGCTGGAACTTCCTCAATTACGTCACCGAGGAGCTGGTGGACCCTCGAAGGTGCGTGGAGAGGGGCGGGGCCCAACGGCCAGGGAGGCAGCCCCTCTGAGCTCTCGTCCCAGGACCAGGGTGTGAAGCAAGGGCCACATGCGAAGGCTGCTGGGTGGGCTGGAGGCAGCACCCTCAACCACCCAGGGGGCCCGGCCCTCCTCATTGAGGACCGCTGTCTCTGTGGCTCAGACTGGTCATCAGCTGACCACAGCCCGTGGGCGTACAGGTGAGTCCCTGCCGCCCCCCCGGGGACAGCTCTGAAAAGAAGTCAGGATGCTTGAGCTGTGGCCCAGCCTGCGCTGTATGCTCAGAAACGCTGGGTAATCACATGTCCTCCTGCTGTAAATGGAGTCAACTATTTGCTCTTGGCCAAAAATCATGCACGTGCATGCAGCGTGGTCTCGAGAATAAAGCTGATGACTCCGTCTGATGCTCAGCCGGAGATCTCGACGGCAGACGGTTGCAGCTGCAGGAACACCAGCAAGGGGGTTTGATAGAGGGCCCCAGGGAAGACCCTAGATCTGTGGACTGGAGCCACCCAAGGCTAGCCTTGGCTGTCTGCACTTTTCTCGTCACGTACAGACATTAGACCCTGCCCTGAGGGTACAATGTGACCCCCTTCTCCATCTGTGCCCAGGACCGGGTAGGGGAGGCAGACGACACTGCTTAGCGCCCCGGCAGCAGTGCTTCCCGGTTTCCTGCCCCAAGGCTCCCAGCAGACAAAGGAGATGGCTCCTGCTTTCCCCCCACCCTGGGCTCCGCTCCCCCACCCCACAAGGAGCTGACGCTGACGTGCTCCCACGACTGCCCACAGGAACCTACCTCGCGCCATCTTCATCTCTGTCCCACTGGTGACCTTCGTGTATGCGCTCACCAACGTCGCCTACTTCACTGCCATGTCCCCACAGGAGCTGCTGTCCTCGAACGCGGTGGCTGTGGTGAGTGGGAGCCCCTGCTGGGTCCCTGGCTGCTGCCCGGCCCCCGTCCCCACCTCACACGCTGGCTTTTCTTCTGTGCCCATCAGACCTTCGGGGAGAAGCTGCTGGGCTACTTTTCTTGGGTCATGCCTGTGTCCGTGGCGCTTTCCACTTTTGGAGGGATCAATGGCTACCTGTTCACCTCCTCCAGGTGACTGAGCTGGAGAGAGGGTGGCTGTGGTGAGGTGAGGCGGGTGCACTGGTGTGTGCAGGCAGGGCTGGGGCCAGAGAAAGGGAAATCCAGCCAGGCGGAGTCACCTAAAGCTGGGACGGTGAATTTCCCAGCAACAAATGTCTGATTCCCAACTCTGTGGTAAAGAAAGCAAGAAGGAGGCAGGCTAGATGAGGGGAAGAACTGCCCAGTGGGACTGCTTATCTCTGGAGCCGGAAGTCAGAGATGATGGCTCAGGAGGGACACCAGGCCAGAGCTGACTCCCAGCTCACGGCACCCACCATCTCTGTCTCTACCCCTCAGGCTGTGCTTCTCTGGAGCCCGGGAAGGGCATCTGCCCAACCTGCTGGCCATGATCCATGTCAGACGCTGCACCCCGATCCCTGCCCTCCTTGTCTCCGTAAGCTGGGGGACCAGGCTGGGCAGGGTTCGTAGTCAGGGCCACCCAGCGATGGCGGGGTTTCTCGGGTAATGGTAGGGTAGGCCCTGGCTGTGGCGGCAGCCCACAGAAGGTGGGGGGAGGGGCTGGGCTCACCCTGACCTCCTGGCCTGAGCGAGACAGGCACAGCGCAGCCTGCAGGGATGGCAGGAGGCAGCTGGAGGCCAGCCCTCAGGCCTCGGTGCTCCCCCAGTGTGGGGCCACAGTGGTCATCCTGCTCGTGGGAGATACATACACGCTCGTCAACTACGTGTCCTTCATCAACTACCTCTGCTATGGTGTCACCATCCTGGGGCTGCTCGTGCTGCGCTGGACACGCCCGGCGCTCTACAGGCCCATCAAGGTGAGGCCCGGGCAGGAGGACTGCCCAGTGTGCCGAGAGCTCTGGGGACCAGGAGCGGGGCAGGTGCTGACGGTGACAGTGACCCTAGCTTTTCCCACATGCTGGGCACTGCCGGGGGCTTTACCTGCACGGACGTATTTAATCCTTATGACAACCCCACAAAGACCTGTTGCTGTCGAGTCAATTCCGACTCATAGCGACCCTGTGGGACAGAGTAGAACTGCCCCATAGGGTTTCCAAGGAGCGGCTGGGGGATTTGAACTGCTGACCTTTTGGTTAGCAACTGAGCTGTTAACCACTGCACCACCAGGGCTGCACAGCCCCACAAGGTGGGTGATTTTAATACTGCCCGTTTGCAGACGAGTGAAGTGAGGCTCAGAAATTTGCTCGAGGTCATGCAGGCAGCTAGTGACAGCCCGGGTTCCATGAGCCCGCAAAAAACAGAACAAAAGAAAGTGAGCTAAAAGTCTGCCGTTTGCATGTAAATCCTCACTCTGGAGAAGTGCTCAGTGGCAGAAATGGAAAACACCGAAACATAATTGACCTTCAGCCAAGTCCCCCCCCACCCCCCACACACACATGTACACACACGCACGCACACACGCACGCCGTATGGGGCTCAGAGCGGCTGAGACTTTGACAAATCCTCAACAGTTTGGCCGACTGACCGTTCCATGAACGGCTCCCAGCGGGCTGGGCTGCTGCCGGGAGAGGCCCAGGGAAGGGAGGGCAGCTCCTCAGGGCTGTGGTGGGGTGGGCTGCGAGGGCTCCTTCTGTGCTCACGCTCGCTCTCCTCAGGTGAACCTGCTCATCCCAGTCACGTACTTGGTCTTCTGGGCGTTCCTGTTGGTCTTCAGCTTCATCTCGGAGCCCATGGTCTGTGGAGTTGGGGTCATCATCATCCTCACGGGGGTGCCCATGTTCTTCCTGGGAGTGTTCTGGAGGAGCAAACCAAAGTGTGTGCACAGAATCACTGGTGAGCAGGGCAGCCTTCTCAGGTGACAAGGCCTGGGGACTCACTGTGTGCAGGGCGGCCTTCTCAGGTGACAGGGCCTGGGGACTCACTGTGTGCAGGGCAGCCTTCCTGGGGTGACAGGGCCCGGGGACTCACTGTGTGCAGGGCGGCTTCTCAGGTGACAGGGCCTGGGGACTCACTGGTGAGCAAGGTGGCCTTCCTGGGGTGACAGGGCCTGGAGACTCACTGATGAGCAGGGCGGCCTTCCTGGGGTGGCAGGGCCTAGAGATGGGACTGTTGTGGCCAACCCAAGAGCTGGGGTGGCAGCACAGGGCCCAGCCACCCCAGATGTCCCCCCGAGATGTGGCCAAGGGGCCCGGGACTGAGCCTGCAGGGGAACAGCTCCCTGAAGACACCTGCTTGGGGAGATGTCCAGTGGTGGGGTGGCCGCTGTCCCAGGGGCCAGGCCCCAAAGTCCGTCTGTCTATCCTCAGAGTCAATGACACGCTGGGGCCAGGAGCTGTGTTTCGTGGTCTACCCCCAGGGCTCCCCTGAGGAGGAGGAAAACGGGCCCTGCCAGGCCTCCCCACTCCCCTCTCCGGACAAGCCCCTGAAGACACAGTGAGATGCTTGCGGAGACTGAACAGCTGTTTCTGTTTACATGTTGTGTATTGAGGAGGTTTTTGCAAAAACTTTTTTTTTTTCTTTTTGGAAAAAAAGATCCCATTCTTAGACGCCTGGCGTATGGAAGTCCTAAAGATGCAGACTGGGTTTCCTGTCTTAGCCAGGCCCTGCTAGCCCTCCCTGAAACGGTCTACAAATAAAACAGGGCTGGTTGCTTGTGCCCAGGTGAGCCCCTGGTGGGCACCGACGGGCTGCAGAGGCGTAACTCGGGGGGTGGGCGTACATGCTGCTGGCTGGGGAAGGTGCCAGGCAGGCTCTGGGGAGGCCCTTGGCATTCTGGGGGCTTTGACCTTGACCTCGGCACCCCATCTCCCAGGCTGGCTACTGCGACTGCCTCAGGTACCGTGGGGTCCAGAGCCACCCCTTCGAAGGGGAAGGAAGACTGTGAAGGGGCTCGGGCTGCCCCTCACCCAGGCCCCCAGTGCCAGCCTGAGGCTCAGCACCCAGGAAAGCCCAGTGGTTCCCATAAATCATCACAGACCAAATGTCAGAACTTCGGAGCCTCAACCACACTTTCCTGGTTTACAGATGGGGAAACCGAGGCCCTGAGACAGGGGGGGATGGATTTGGGCACTGTTGGTTGGTGCCTCCAGCTTGGTCCCCTGAGACAGCGGAGAGGAGTGTCTCCTGGGGGCCTCTGGGCCTGCAAGGGACCCCACGGCTTTCTCCGCCCCCGCCCACATTCCCAGCCCCAAGGCCCAGGAGACTGACCCCTCAGCCAGAGGGCAAAGGGTGGCAGCCTGGTCAGGCCCATGTCAACATCACTGGCACGAGGATGACAGAACTCTCCCCAGCCCAGGTCCTCGGGGCCTCTGCCAGGAAGGACGGGAGGAGGGTTAGTGCAGACGGACTGGGTACAAAGTACACGCTGCTGTGCCCAGTCCTCACGGCAGCCCGGGGCAGGGAGGACCAGGGAAGCCGCTCAGCTCCGAGGGCAGCAGGCGCTGCCACAGCAAGAGTGGAGCAAGGAGTGAGGAGCTGCAGGAGACAGAGCCCTGGCCTTCTGGCTTGTCTGGAATGGATTCTCCAGTCACCAACATGGAGTGGAGGGGGAAGGCAGAAGTGAGACCCCAGGGTGCTTGTATGGGCCCCAGGACCTGCAGAGGGGCCCATCCTTCCATCACTCACCCCTTTTCCCAGCCCAGCACCCACAGCCTCTGCCTGGCCAGGCCCACCCAGGTCGGGGGAGTGGGGGGATGCTGACAGGAAAGCTGGCTGAGGGCCCAGCACCTCAACGGGCTTCTGGGTGGGCTTCCCCGTAAGAAAGAAGGATGCAGAGGCAGGGTAGAAACGACTGTGTATTCCCTGGTTACAAAGCGGGGCTGTGGCGGTCTCCAGCATGTCCGGCAGGTCAGCAGACCAGCAGAGCCTCGTCGTCACTGGCCTCCAATATGGGGGAGCAGGGTGGCAGGGGGCTCCTGCAGACACCCAGTGGCTCTGGTGGGGGGGTGCCAAGGGTGCTGCTGGCAGTGGGGGCTGGGGGGTGGGGGTCCTGGGCCGAGCAGTGCTCCCGAGGCATGTCCACAGGGGCTGGGCTGTCCACCGGAATGTCCCAGCAGGCCTTTCTGTCCTTGTCCATGGGCCTGCTCTCTGAGTCCTGCAGGCCCGAGGGGGGCAGCAGCACTGAAGGTTCCCTCTCAGGCGCGTGGCCAGGGGCACTGGGGAGCCGGTCAGCAGCTGCCCCGGGGCTGCCTGTGTCTGTAAGGGAGGCTGGCGGGTTGGGGGTGGCCCCTGCTGCGGGCTGGAGGAGCCCATTGCCCAGCACCGTCTGGGAGGTGCGCGTGGTGGTCAGCAGTGGGATCTGGCCTCGTGGCACCCGCGGCCGGTGGAAGAGCCTGTTCCAGAGGCGGCCGAGGCGGCGGCGGGAGGGTCCTCTGCGGGAGGCGTGCCGGCGCATCTGTCGGCGCATGGCCGTGCGAAGGTTCTGTAGCACCGAGGCCTGGAGGGTGGGGGCGGTGGCTGAGGGGATGGCCAGACCAGCACAGGCCGCTCAGGGACAGAGGTCAGCACCGCCCCCAAGGGGCCCAAGACCAACCTGTCATCCCTCCTGGCCGTGGCCCCCCATGTCACCCTGCCTACACTGTGCTCCCCCTCTTTCATCCCCTACCCAGCCTGGCCTGCCCACTGCCCGCCCTGGCCCCTCAGCCCTGTCTTGGGGGTGCTCTGAGGTCCCGAGGGGAGCCCTGGCCCCTGGGGTCCCACCCCCATCAGTGCTCACCTGGGATGCACTGTAGACGGGAAAGTCCTCCACAGGGGGGATGAGGCCCTGCGCGATGAGCTGACCGTAGGATGGGGGTGCCTCCCGCCGCACAAACTCAGCCTCCAGGCGCGTCATCTGGGTCTCAAAGGCCCTGAAAGCAGTGAGCACCGTGGCAGGGCTGCTGCGACCCCAGCCTTCCGCCTCCCCCAGGGGCCTGCAAGGGAGCCCTGGTGGCGCAGCGGTTAAGTGCTATGGCTGCTAACCAAAAGGTCAGCAGTTCAAATCCACCAGCCGCTCCTTGGAAACGCTATGAGGCAGTTCTACTCTGTCCTATAGGGTCATGATGAGTCGGAATCAACTCAACAGCAGCGGGTTGGGGCCTGCAAGGGGCTCTCCCTTCACACACGTCTCAAGATGCCCAGACCCCACCACGAGCAGAAGTCCACACGTGGTCGGCCCGAGCCCCAGTTGACAAGCCCGCAGCTGTGTGGACAGAGTCTGGGGCCTCTCTCCAGGGAAATGAGGGAACCGAGGCCCCCCGGCGCGGCCCCCCTGCCCGCCCGCCGGCCCACCTGTACTCCTGCGTGCGCAGCGAGTAGAGCTTGAAGGCGCAGCCCAGCGCTATGACGAGCAGCAGGCCGCAGACGAGGCTGCCGATGAGGGCGGCGGTGATGACCTTGCGGGGCACGGCGGCCAGGCAGCCGTGCTCGTCGCTGCCGTCCTGGCAGTCCTCCTGACCGTCACAGCGCCACGTCTCAAAGATGCACAGGTTGGTCCCGCAGTGGAAGGTGCCGGGCTGGCAGGAGAAGCAGTTCTTCTCGTCGGCCCCATCGGGGCAGCTTTTCTGGTTGTTGCAGCGGTCGGCCGGCGGGTAGCACAGGCCGCTGCCACCCTCGCAGGGGTACTGGTCGGGCGGGCAGGCGGGGCAGCCCTGCTCGTCACGGCCGCTGGCACAGTGCCACCAGCCATCACAGCGCTGGGGCTCTGAGAAGCAGCCCTGATCCCCGGCGTCCCCTGCGTCCCCCTCGCTGCTGCTGCTGCTGCCACATGGCTGCTCCCACGGGAGGCAGTAGCCCTTCACCTGGTAGGTGGCATTGAAGCCATGGCCGGCGCTGCGGGCGCGGGCGTGGTAGGCCACGGTGAGGCGGCCCTGGGCGGCCTCGAGGCTCACGGGCCGGTGGTTGCTGCGATAGGACAGCGTCTGCAGCAGGCGGTCCCCACGCTCGCCCAGGCCTTCGTACACCTGCACGTAGTCATCATAGCCCAGCCGCAGCTCCAGCTGCAGCAGCACACGCCGCGGGTCCTGCGTGTCCACCAGCCACGTGCAGTGAAGGTCCGAAGGCCCCCGGGCCGCACCAAACAGGTCTGGAGAGGCGAAGGAGCCATAGAAGCTGCCCAGCCGCCGGCCGCACGCCAGGTCCGGGCAGCCAGCCTCGTCGGAGCTGTCGCCGCAGTCCTGCGCGCCGTCACAGCGCCGCTCCACGGGGAGGCAGCGCGTGGAGCGCGCCCCGCTGCAGGGGAAGGTGCCACCGGGGCACAGGCTGCCTGGTGGCTCAGAGGCAGGTGCCGAGCAGTTACTCTCGTCAGAGCTGTCCCCACACTCGTCCACGCTGTTACACTGCCAGGGGCCTGGCAGGCACTTGCCATTGTCACAGTGGAACTCGTCAGCCTGGCAGGACGCCTGGCCCAGCTTCCCTGCAGGACAGAGGGCGTGGGGAGGCAGGTCAGAGGACGGCAGGGCCTCCCCCCAGTGTGGGGTCGGGGCCAGGAGCGGGCGGGTGGTCCCTCTCCCGGGTGGCTCTCTGCGGCTTACAACTGCACAAGGCAGGCACGGCCCCGGAAGAGGTGGGACCCAAGGAGAAGCCCCTCGCCTCTCCATGGCCACCTGACGGGCAGATACCCCCCCGAATGCCACGGTGGGCTCAGTCCCTGACCTGAGCCTGGGGTCAGCCCCCCACTCTAGCCAAGCCTGAGAAGTGGGGTCAGTGACAGCCCAGTGACCTCAAGAGGCTTTGGGAGCAGGCTGAGGTGGAAGCATGACCAATCCTACTGCCAGCTGAGAAGGCTGGTCGGGGGAGGCCCTGCAGGGACCTGGGGGCCAGTGAAGGGCCCCACCCTGGTCCCGGGAGCCCACACGTGTGCACCGGGTGCTCTGTGGTCCAGACTTATCCACCCCGTGCCACCCTGCCACCAGGATCACCTCGGATGTACGAGAGACGGAAGCCCTGCGCCTGGCCGGAGCTGGAGGCATCGGAGTGGAAGAAGATCCAGACGTGGTCCCGTGCAGAGATGAAGGCAGGCGGGATGGCGGAGCCACAGAGCCGGAAGGCCTCCTGGCGGGGCGGGGCTGCTGGGCCCAGCATGAGCCAGTCCAGGGAGCACTGGTGGGACTCCTCCACATCAAAGCTGCGGAAGCTGCCGGGGCAGAGAGGACAGCAGACGTGGGTGGTGAGGGCAGGTCGGGGCCCACAGGGCCAAGGAGGGTAGAGGGTGGCCAGGCCTGGCGCTCAGGCAGGGACAGCCTGCCCCATGCCCCCCTCCACCCGTGACTCTGGTCTTCCAAACTTGCCTGGCTCCCCTCTCAGCCACTCGGTGGGACGCCCCTGCTACCACCCAAGGGTCCAAGGGCTGCTCCATGAAGAACCATGACAACTGTGTCACGTCTGCTCCACTGCAGCTCAGCGAAGGCCCCACCTCATCCTTTCCACCCTCCACCAGCACACACAGCACCCCAAAGCCAAAGTGGAGGGTGGTGTCAGGGGCCCCTTCATGGGCAATCCCCTCCCCCAACACTCCCCTCAGGGAGGGAGGTCCCAGGGCCCAGCTTCTCCCAGCCACCACAGACATGCTCACATTTGCTCACACACGTGTTCTCTCCACCTGCTTGCACATACACTCACACATGTGGTCACACATGTACACTCACACGTGTGCATTCACACGTGCACTGAGGACAGGGCCATGCCCACAGAGCTGGCCTAGGCTGCAGGTGGGTGACACCTTGTCACCAGGGGAGGAACACTGGCCCTGGACCCCCAACGGCCAGCAGCTGCCCAGGCTGTGGGGTGAGCAGGCCACAGAGCCACCAAAAGCCGCTCTCAGGCACTCTCTCTTCAAAGGCTCCACCCAGCTGCCTCGCTCGCCCCCTTCTAGAGATGGGAAAACTAAGGCACAGAGACCCAGACAGACTCTGCTCATGCTATCACATCTCTGTGCTTTGGAGCTATGTAGTAACCGAGATACTCGGGTTTTGGCATTTGGGAGAGCTCAGACAGACAGAGCCCGTAGTAACTCTCCAGTCAGATGTCCTAACCCCTACCCAGGCCGGGGTTATCTGGTCACCTCACTCCATTTCCCTCTGCATGTCCCAAGGACTCCCTGCAGCGTGAGCACCCAGGCTTCTGCCCAGCCCCCTCCCTGCCAAGACTGCCCTGGGTCCCCTTCAGGAGCCCTGTTCTGGGCTTGTTGCCAGCCTGGCCTCCAGTCATCCCTGCAGGATGAAGAGGATATCCCTGCCACCTCAGAGGCAGCTAGACCATGCCCACCAGTCCCCAGGACCCCACCTCCCAGAAGAGTGGAGGTGACTGACAGACCCCACACCCCATGAGGGAGGCTCAGGACAGGGCAACCAGCCAGGGGCAGCCAGACCCAGGGGCTGGGCACACCCACATGCTCACAGGTACTCACATGTGCACACACACATGCTTACAGCTCACACATGTTCACTGTGCTGTCACACACATCTGCTCACGTCTGCTGACATGCAGTCACACAGAAATCACATGCACATACACGCCTGCTCATCCTCTTGCTTACATGCGTCCTCTCGTACAGACACACGTGCTCACATGTACACTCATAATCTGCTCACACACATGCTCTCTGCACCTGCTCAGACGTGCTCACGCACAGTCACACACACGCACTCACAAACGTGGGCCCACGTAGATCCCCTCAGACACCCCCAGGGCCCCTTACCTGATGGTGATCATGTCCCCACGGTCGCCCTGGATGTACCAGCTGCAGTTGGTGCCCGGCGGGTAATTGAGGGGCCAGGCTGGGCTGTAGATGACACCACGCCGCTCCGTGTGCTGCTCCAGCTTCCCGCTGCAGGCAGCTGTCAGGAGATCAGGCTGAGCAATGCCGGCCCCACATTCTGACAGTCAGCCGGGGGAAGGGGCACTTGAGGCGGCCATGGCTTCAGCACAGGCCTCCCCGAGGGTCGGCTCAAGGCCAGCCGAGGATGCCCATGACCTAGGGCAAGAACTCCAGAGTTCACAGAAATGGGGTGTGGGGGTGGGCCAAGGGAGACCCCCCAGGACTGAAGGCAGCCGTAGCTCCCCAACCCCACCAGGTGCACCAGAGCCCGGGTCCTCCCCTCCCCACTCCTGGCAGGGCTGGGGGCAAGTGCACCAACACTCCCCCGGTCATCGGCCCCTCAGAGGTGCAGCCTCCTGGCCCCCAGGGCCTCAGCTCAGGGGAGAACTCTGCACCCGGAGGCTTGTCAGCCCTACAAGGGAAATCCGCTACCATCCCCTGCCTGCCCTCGCCGGGGTTCTTGCCAACTACAGACCTTAGCCCCAGGAGGGGAGAGGTTCTGCTCACCCAACACGTATTATAAGCGCCCATTATGTGCCAAGCACTGTGAGAGGCATGCTGATTGTGTCAGGCATGGAACCCACGGGCTGGGGGAGGTAGGGAACAGGCAGATTTTATGCTGATCCCCTTGGGTGGAATAAAAGGAGGTGGCAATGTCTAGAGGTGGGTGACGAGGCTGGCTGGGTCTGATCACCCCTTGTGTGGAATTTGGATTTTGTCTTGACTATAAACGGGAAGCTAAAGGAGGAAACTGAGGCTCAGCAGAGAGAAGTGACCGCCGAGGCCCACACAGCCAGCAAATGGCGGAGCCAGGCTTCACCCTTGTCCACTGGTGGGCTCGGCCGTTCACTTCTGCCTCTGTGCCAACAGCACTTATGGAGTGTCACCTATATGCCCACCAGGGATGAGTGTCGTGCATCACACCAGCCTCACCTTACCCACTTCATGATACACACCCTCTGGTTCCCGGCTCAGCCCGCCAGCCTGAAGGCTCCAAACCCTTGGGCAGCGAGGGGGGCCTGCCCTGGCCTGGTGTGGCCTGGCCTCCCCAGCATAGGCAGCAGGACCCCCCGCACTTGGCCGCGCCCACCCCTCACAGCCCCTTCAGCCCTTTGCCACACTGGTTCATCTGGTTCTCACAGCCGGCTGCAGCAGAGGCAGGCCCATGCTACAAATGGAGAAAATGGGGCTCAGGGAGGTGAGCCATGACCCTTTGCCCGAGCCCAGTGACACCACCTTCACACTCTCCCACTGCCTGGCATGTGCCACTGCTGCCCCGAAGTAGCGTTCTCTCTGGCTCGCAACAAGACCCGCGGGGCCTCCACACAGCACAGCTCCAGAAAGGAGAACGGAAGCCCTCTGGTGCCTCCCAAGCTCTCAGGGTGAGGATGGAAAGCCCGGCAGTGGCCCAGCCCCCTGCCCACCCACCTCTCCTGTCAGCTCCCCCTCAGCCCCCTCACCCCTCATGCCTCCTGCGCTTCCTCCCACTCAGGGACTTTGCGCCTGCTGTTCCTGGTGGGGGTGCTCGTCCCACCTCCTATGCTGTTCACTCTCCCAGCTCAGGGGTCCCTTCCTCTGGGAGGCCCTCCCCACGCTGCCCACCCCCTTCTCCTTCCCAGCCCCCACCACAGCAGCCATTCCCACTTTATTCCTGTAACTAAGTCTCACGCAGTGCAGGGGCTGTGCAGGGTCTGGCTTGACACTGTCCCCAGGATCCTGCGGGGTGCCTGCCACGTGGTAGGTGTGGTCAGAGACTGAACTGGGCAATTCAAGCGCCTGCTTAGCAGTTAGAGGCATGAGCCGTGGGCCGAAGCCCCTGACGATGGGGACCTGCCGTGACCGTGGATTCCAAAACTGTGACTAACCCCACCAACAGCTCCTAAGCGCTTCAAATAACTGCAACAGAAACACCCGCCCTCAACCCTCAAGCCAGACTGACCGCTATGACCATCATCAGGTCACCACCCAGAGCATCAACAGTCCAGTCAGCGAGATACAAACCAGGCCCACCCCACCTGGCCACACGGGCCCTGGGGCGGCCAGCCTCCCCGAGCCCCACGTTTCTCGTTCATACAGCAGGAGCCACGCACTCATCATGACCCAGGAGGGTAAGGACGATAAAAACGGAGCGGAGTCACAGCACACGCAAACATGCTGCAGGAAGGGGCCTAAGCAAAGTGCCCCAGCAAAACCCAGTTCCCTCGGACGCTCAGCTTCCCAGCCATGGGACCTCAGAGACCTGGGTGCTGACCCAGGGTGGGGGCTGTGCCCTGGGAGGCGTGAGGTTATTAACCCAGAAGGCTTCTTCCCAGAGGGTGCTGGGCAGGAGGTTCACAGGAAGGAAGGGTCCAGCGTAGCTGGGGGTGCTTCTCCCTCCCCCTGCCCATGTCGAGTCTCCTAAGCACGTGGTAAACCGAGACACGGGTACTCTGAGTCAGGGGACCCAAGGTGTGCTGGGTGAGCTCAGCGAGGGTGGGAACCACCCCTCCTTCAGCTGGACCCTCAGCCCCGAGGACAGGGCCCGGGACAGAGCAAACCCAAAAGATCCGTTGCTGTCGAGTCAATTCCGACTCACGGCAACCCCATGTGTTACAGAGTAGAACTGCTCCACAGGGTTTTCTGGGCTGTAATCTTTACAGACATAGATTGACTCTAACCTTTCTTCCGAGGCACCACTGTGTGGGTTCAAACCACCAACCTTTAGGTTAGCGGCTGAGCGCAAACCACTTGCGCCACCATGGGGCAGAGCAGGGCCCAGCGAATACCTACCACAGCCGACAAGAAATGGACGTCGACTTGTCCTCTTGTTAGGGCTTCACGGAGGCCAGGCTTCTCACCCACACGAGCCCCGGGAGAACTGGGCACACGTTTTCCACCAGGTGTCACGTGCCACCTCTTCCCTCCTCTGCCTCACCTCTGCCACAGTACTTCTCCCTCCTAAACCCACATCTGGCTTTTCTCTCATAGGTCAGGAGACCTGTCTCTCCCGACCACCAGCCTAGCCAGGAGCAGATGTCTAAACAGCTCCCCCTAAACAGCCTCACTGCTGAGGGCCCCCCAGAGCTGCCCCAGGAACTCCCACCTCAGGGGCAGCGATGTCATTTGGCTAACTGCTTGTTCTCCTCCAAGGGAGAACTGCAGAGACTGTGGTTTCTGCAGCCTCAGCCTGGCCTGTGTGGGAGCTGGCAGCTCCGGTCAGGGGCTCTTGACTGGACATTGCTTGGTCATGGGCATAGAGGTGTCACTGACTCAAGACAACCAGCCCCCAGCCCTCTCTGTGATGGCAGGCCTCACCCTCTCCCCAGCACACCACCCAGGACCCAATCACAGACAATCGAAAGGGCCTCATGACTCCAGGCTTGGGACCCGTGCTGCCAGACGCACTGTTCCACGCTGGGCCTCAGCTTGCCCATCAGTAAAATGGAGCTAATGGGCATTGAGGGTGGTTGGGGAATGTGAGGCAGGTGAGTGTTTCTAGGCAGACACCGTGGGAGGGGGTGGGCAGGGTATACGAGTGGGGCAGGGGAGCCGGCCAGGCCTGGGCCATGGGAGGGGACGGGCGTGGCAGGCTGCTGCAATGGTGGTGGGCAGTGAGGAGTGTAGGGGTGTGTGTGCTGGGGAAGGTCGAGCTGGGGATACCGATGCAGGATAGCGGGCGTTCTGAGAGGTCTGTCCGAGCTTTAGCTGGAGGTAGAGCTGGGGCCAAGGCTCTGCCAAGTGGGCGAGGGATGACTGGGTACTTTTAGGCCAGTGTCCTTATGGCCTGGTCCAAAGAGTTGTCAAGTACTCCTGTAGAGGACAGGAGCAAGGCCTGATGAAGCACAGTTTGCAGATCTACTTTCCAGGGTGATCAGTACTCTCAACAGCGATGTAACCTGGCAATACGGACCTGGAAGCCCCACCTCAGGCACTCCGGGAGCCTGCAGACCCCGCCCAGGCCCACCTCCCTGGGGCCACCATGGCCGTGTGGCAGAGCCCAGAGTCTGGTCACAGGAGTGGGCCCCCTGGACCGGTCAGTGCCTGGCATACCTGGGGCAGTGCCACCTGGGCCCTCAGGAGTGTCCGAGCCCAGAAAGGGGTGGGAAGCGGCCAAGGACTAGTTCCTGATCCAGGCCTCCGCACAGTAGGAATCACAGCGGAACCCCTAAAATCGCAGTCATGGAACCCTGGGAGGGGGCACCGCAGGCCTCCAGGAGCTGCTCTTGGCTTCTCTCACAACACTGGCAGGATCAGAGGTGGACCCCGGGAATGCTGGGGCCTCAGACCCCACCCCGGGCCCTGTAGCATGTGCGTGTGGCTCAGAACCCCAGGGGTGCCAGACACAGACACCGTGATGTGAGCACGGCCCCTGGAGTTGGGTGACATGGACCCTGCTGGGGCTTGAGATCTCAGCGGCTAACAACAATCAAACGCGCAGACTTAGATCTGTGTCCTTCTTTCCCTGGTTCTATGAGGAGCCCTTGTCCCTGCAGAGCCCTCTTCTAAACCTGGGGCACAGGCACGTGGCAGACGTGTTTGGGGGGGCATTCTGCGCACCTGCTGGAGAGCTGGCCTCGGGCTCATGTATGTAAGATGTGACACCCACGCAGCCTCCCCCTACCTCTCTACCATGGGCACAGACACCTGACCCAGGCCAGGCCCCTCTTCTCCTGGAAATGGGGATGGGCAGGCTGGGCAGTGGGCTGTGGGGTCAGGATGCCCCACAGGGCTGGGTCAGCAGTGGGCAAGGCAAGGCCCTGAGCAGACAATAAAGCTGTCATGCAGACAGGATCGGGAGCCCAAGTATGAGTGATGGGCCGGTGAGAGCGCTCCCAGTGACCGTGGCCAGCGGAGGCCCCTCCCTGAGAGCTCTGGGCCCTAACACCTGAGCTAGCCTCAATGGGTTCCTGCACCAAGCCGGGCCTGGAGAACTAGAAATCCCGAGGACCTCCTGCCCCAGCAGAAGCACAGCAAACAAGTCAGAGAGGCCCTCCAGACTGGGGGCCCACATTCTCTCCTGGCTCCCTGAGGTCCCTGCTAGATTGCTCCTGGTGGCACCAAGGGCCCATCTGTCGGCCCCTGGCAGCCCCCTTAGCAGAGAGCTTACGTCCCTGATGGACTCGGCTGCCCCGCCTGCTCCCATCAGCCCTTACTGTGCCTGGCTCCAGGCAGAACCCAAGACCATCAGGTGATGGACAGACCCACAGTGACAGGCTTGAGGGGCAGGCAACTCATGGCACCTCAGGAACCGCCTACCTTTGGGAGGCACAATCTGTCACTTGTGTGGGACCCTTTACGGTTTGCCAGTGGTATTAAGCCACCCCATGCCAGACCCCATGCTGAGCATCTTCCCTCATTTGCTCATTTAACCTATGTTAGGGGTTGAATTGTGCCCGGCCAAAACCTGTTTTAAATCCTAACCTCTGTGCCTGTGGTTATTTGGGAATGGGTTGTCTTTGTTATGTTAATGAGGCAGGATTAGTGTAGGATGTCTCTTGAGTCAATCTCTTTTGAGATATTAAAAAAACCAAACCCATTGTCTTTGACTACAGGACAGAGTAGAACTGCCCCATAGGGTTTCTAAGGAGTGACTGGTGGATTCGAACTGCGGACCTTTTTGGTTGGCAGTCATAGCTCTCAACCATTGCACCACCAGGGCTCCTTTGAGACACTAAAGAGATTAAACAAGCTAGCACAGCAGAGATGGGGGGAGACTGATGTCAAACCACATGGCGCTCTCCAGAGAACCAAAAACAAGCTGAAGAGACAAGGACCTTCTTCCAGAGCCAACAGACAGAGAGCCTTTCCCCAGAGCCAGCACCCTGAATTCAGATTTCTAGCCTCCTCAACTGTGAGAAAATAAATTTCTGTTTGTTAAAGTCACCCACTTGTGGTGTTTCTGTTATAGCAGCACTAGATAACTCAGACAACCTAACAACCAGGCTTTGAGGCAGGTCCTGTTATTTCACCCATTTTACAGAAGAGGAAGCCGAGGTGCAGAGAAAAGTTACAGTTTGCCCAAGATCAAACGGCTCCTTTGTAACGCAGAAAAGATACACCAAGGACTGGTTTTAGTGACAAAACTGAGTTTGGAAAAGGTTAGATGACCTCAGGGGTGGAGCCAGGATCCTGAAGGCCCTGTCAGCCCTCAGGGGCCACTGAACAGAGGGCAAGGAGGAGGGGCAGAAGGAGAAAAGCATCTTACTCACCCATGGCAGGAACTGCACTGCTAAGCCTCCCAGTGAGAAAGAAGTTCACTGTGGGAGACACAAAGAGGGGTCAGCGGAGGTGGCTCTCGGGCCCCAGGCACCCACCCTGGGCCAGCCAGCAGCCCCTGTGAGGCATGGGACAACACAGCCTGGACTCAAGGCTGTTCTCCCCTCACCTCACAGGGCAAGGCCCAACAGGGCTACAACGGAGACTCCCACTCCTCCTGGTCCTGCTGGCACGGGCAGCCAGCGCCCCAGAGGGTCTTGGGACGCACCCTGGCGCACCCACAGCAGAGAGCAGTGTGCAAGTCCGGGTGTACTGGAGCACTCCTGCCGCTCCCAGGCCCGGGAATTCTGATTCAGTGTGCGGAGAGGGAGGTGTGACTGTCTCCTGTCAGACTTGGGAAAACCTGGGCCCAACATCAGAGAGGGCCCTGGCTCAGCCCAGGTCAGGGGGACCAGCCTGAACCCCAGGGCCTGCCTGTCAGGAAGGCGCTTTCTACCACGGGGGTTTCTTCCTAAGAGGCTCTGCCAGCCTTCTAGTCCACCCAGCAGCCGGGGAGGGAGGGGAAGCAGTTCTTGTTATCCTCATTTTAAGGGAAGGAATGTAAAGCCCCCGAGAGAGGCTATGACACCCAGCTAACAGGGTGACAGTGCTGAGTCCCAGTTCAGGGCCCCCTCACTGTGCCGTGCTGACCCCGGGGCAAAGAACTCGCCTCAAGACCCGCCTCCACAGGGGCTGTCCTTTGCTTTCAGCTACTGCTCTCCTGCGGGGTTTCTGGGACCAAGGCTATTTCTCAGGATGAGGATACCGGCAGGCAGGGGAGGGTAAACTCAGCTTCCCAGGATTCAAGATGCCCCCCACCATCAAGGATGCCAATGGAAGCATGGAGCATCTTGGGAGCGGTCAGCCCCCACCTGCAGCTGCTTCCTCTCAGGACACCTGGGCTCTGCTGGGCAGAACCCATGCCACATCTCCTGGGCAGAGAGAGCCTTGGGAAAGCTGAGGGCCTGTCCCCCTGCCCTGCCCACAGGGAAGCCCAGCACCCAGTAGCTCAGAGTCCAGAGCAAACAGCCATTACCAGACTGGGGGGTGGATGCTTGGAGTCTCCTAGCCCTAATTTAGACCCATTCGCCCTGCTAGGACAGGGCAGGGACCCTTCCCCAACTCAGAGCGCCCTGTTTCTTGGGGGGGGGGGGGCAGCTTAAAACAGGCAGGCTTGTTTGTCATTTCGGTAGCTTCAGGAACCCTGCTGGGGTTGCAGAGTCCCCATCAGTGTCACGGCGGGGTTAGCCACGTCCAGTAATAGCTCTCAGCTCTGATAATGGCCTCCTTCCTTCCAGTGGTAAATAAATCAGCCATGTGGGTGGAGGATTTAACCCCTCCCAGCCCCCAGTGGGCACACACAGGACCCTGGAGAGGTGGACAGAAAAACCCCTGGCAGGGCAGGCAGGAGCCCTTGCAGCCAGGTGCCAGGCCCGGACAGGTGCCTCAGCCCTCCACAACCGCACCACGCTCCGCTGGCCGGGCCTGCCTGGCTGGGTCTGAGAAGACACAAAGGGACAACAGGGGTCATTCTTCCGGGCCCCTGCTCCCTGCCACCCTCCTCCTGCTCTGCATCCAGAGTCCCTTCTCCAGGCCAGCACCCCCGCCCCCGCCCCCGCCCCCAGCTCAACAGGAAACAGTTTGGCTAAGGAGCAGGCGACCTCAGACCCGCCGGCCTCGCCTTTGTCCGCCGCTCGGGAGGCCCGGACCGTCGCCAAGCTAAACGCAGCAGGCCCCCTGAAAGCCGCCGCCGCCGACCCGGCCGCCTGCACAAACTGGCCGCCCAGCGCGCTGCTCTTCCCCGGCGCCGAGGCGCTATTCCGATCCGGGCGGGGCCGGGGCTCCGCTGCCAGAGCTGGGCCTGCAGCGCGAGGCTCCCAGGGTCGCCCTCCCGGGCGTCAGACTCTAGCAGGCCGGCGGTGCTGGGGGGCGCCCAGGAAGGGGGGTCCCCGCCCTGTCCGTGGCCTCCGCGCGGGAGCCATCGCATTGCCCGCTCCGGGGAAGCCCTGGCCCAGGAAGGGGCGCGGGGCCGGGGCGGGGGTCCAGCTGGGGCGCGGCCCACTCACCC